TGTGTCCCCCTGGGGGTAATGGCGCTCCTCTCTTTCTCTTCAGAAGCAGCTGGCAATTAAAGTCAGGGCTCGGAGATCAGCAAACATCACAGTTGTATGATATCTAATGATTGCTAATGTTCCGTATGAACATATCGGGGTCACATAAAGCTGCAGAGACAGCACCGTGCCAAAGAATTCTCACCACTACATCCATGGGAAATAGGAGATGCAAAAAGAAGACTCGGTCCGCCATCTATAACTGAAAACAACTGTGTGGACTGGGACCTTAACATCCAACTCCTTCTTTGGGTATTTGTTTTTAAATGTGTTCCCCAGCAATAGTAAGAATACAAAAAGGAGCACTTGCAATAATCACCTCCTCTCTCCCTGCGATCTATCACCATTAGGCCCCGCTCACACCAAAGCATTTTGTCACGCGTATCTGTGCACACTGAAACACTCTAGACGAGAAATCCCATTTTTTTTCTATAGCCTCCATTCACACCTGAGCGAAGCATCAGGCGTAGAAAAATGCCTGTCGCTCAAAAAAAGTGCATTTGCTTCTTTTTGACAGATTACAGTGTGTTTTGTCTCAATAGATGATAGAAGTCACCAACACTCACTTGTAATGTGCACGAAGCATAAGCACTTTTATTGATGCATCACATAGGCAATGTTTCGGGGCTGCGCAGGGTCCCGTCCTCAGGGTGACGGGTCACTATATCATAGGACACTGTTGCCCTGAGGAAGGGCTCAGAAACGTTGGCTCTATGACGCATCAATAAAAATGCTTATGCTTCTTGCACATTACGAGTGCTGGCGATTTCTATCATCGTTTGGACTGTGGCACGGCGCCATTCGTGTCATCGATTCGAGCACCAACAGTTATTTCATATGGTCAAAGCGCTGTATGGAGTGCAGGTGATTCACTAACGCTACATACTCAATAGGAAACGCGCAACAACTATTTTTGCGCACTAACATTAATGTGTGACAATCAGCTCCCAAAAATGCGCCATTTAATGTACTTGTGTAAACGTGCACAAAAACAAGCAGCGAAAATGTTGTCGCCTAGGTGTGAACAGGGCCTTACTCTTCCAGGTGAATTGGGCCCAGCATCATTCCTGGGAGTGCAGGGTGTCATAGGTCCCAGTACAGTATAATGATGCAGAGAATGATGGTCACCAGTACCAGAAAGGAGGAAGAGGCCTGAAGAAATCGGAGAAAAAGGGTGTGTGTATGTATGCATGTATATGTATGTATAACATCTATAAATGTGGGGGTCATCTGTGGGTGAGAGGGAAGGAAAAGAGGTGGAATTGAAAGTATTTCCCTGTAAGCCCCTTCTCGCTGCAGAATGGCAAATGGAAGCACCCCTGGCATCTGCTGGGATTAAAGCGATCCAAGTAAATTATTTTTGCTTTGCCATGTCTGACAGGACGCGCAGCAGCGCACATGCTGAACAAGTCATGGTGCATGAACACTGCCCGCGTCTGGCTCTGAACATGTCCCCTGTGTCACTGGAGCAGCTCACCTGACACATCGCATAAAGCGGACGGTGCTCGGCATTCCACACAAGCTGCAACCTGACCTTGCCAGGAGATCTGCGGATGATTGTTCAACTCACGCTGAACGTCAAGCAACCATCACAAACTGTGATCTAAAAAGTAGCAAGGTCTATAAAATAAAAATGTTCCAGCAGATGTATAGAGTGCCATTCAAATCTAAAAAAGTAGTCATGTCTGCCAACTACAAGGAAAGGGTTCACATATTAAAAAAATCTTATTACTGATCACTAAATGTCATGTGAATGATCAACTTAAAGCAGAACTCCAGCCAAAAGAGAAAAATGAATAGCCCATTAGAAGAGAAGAAAAAAACAAGAGCAGCTTTTGCTGCAATACGCACCTTCACACATTTCTGTGCAGTACTTTTTTTCTGCTACTAGATAGCCTCATTTTAAATGGCAGATGGAGAGTCCCCCCGCACTCCTTACAACGCTCCCAGCCTATATAGAAAATGGTGCTCGCAGTGATGACCACGGATGGCTCTGTGCCAGCTTGACCAGGTCACATCCTTTTACCCTGATGAAGGGACCCTGCGTGGCCCCGAAACGTTGGCTTTCCTCACTGGTGACGATGTGTCCAATAAATGGACATATTTATTGAGAATATTGAGTGCTGGTGATTCCTGTCCTCTGTCATTTTAATGGCCAACATCATTCAAACCACTTCCTCTGAGCCCAGGTCGTCCTGCACCTGCCCCAGCCTGTGAAAGGGCAGTGAAAGGAGAAGAGCTCATCTAATACTCTCTGCTTTTCTCTGCTATCAGCATGCTTCTTGTTAGCACATGAACTGATGGGCTCCTTTAGCTGCTTTTTCCTGTCACACTCCAGCTCTGCTATATAGGGACTGCAAGAGGATGACACCAAGCCAAAGGGTTACCAAGTTTGTATTGCTGTTGTGCCCCTTTTGGGACTTCCTGACCTGATGCCAGGATTCTCCTTGCTACCTGCCATGTTCATAGGGCAGGGAGTAAGGGAATATCTCCTAATAGGAAGCTGAAAGCAATAAAATGCTCCTTTTTGTCATGTGACTAGGACAGGGAATAAGGGGAAGGCACTCCACAAAAGTCAGGAATAAACCCGAATTTTTGCATACAGGTAAAGAGTCAGTTCTATTGCTCTTGGTGTTACCGTTGGGAGATTACCCTTTACTTCCTGTTCTGGTGATTCAGATGGGGGGCAAAGTCAGCCAACAAACATCCTGGGTGATCCACTTGATCGGATACTACGGCAGACTATAGTTCACCAGTTAGAGGGTCGAGCAGATACATGAAGGGCCATTTAAATCCCAATAATAAATTTAGTTTGGTTCCTGGCCAGCAAGACAGCTGAGATGATACAAATATTGTACAAGTGTTCAATAATCTTATTATATGATCTTATCTTCTATTATCTTAGGTATATGTCTCTAAATGTTACTACAACTGTAACCCCAAATAATAGCTATGCCATGTCCCTTTAACGGGCACATCCTGCCATACCTCGTCTCATGATTCCCCAACTGAGAGATCTCACTGTCTTGCTACAAACGCAAACTAGCGGAGCCAACACAAAGCTGGCAGCGAGACGATATGAATCACCCTCTCTCCCATCCACACAAGAATACAAATGAGAGGCTCCTTACATAATCTGCATACTATATACAGCCCTCATCCCACCCAATGCAGGCCGCTGACAATGACTCACTGCTGCCAACATCAGTGCAACAGTCTGATATAAAAAATATATCTAAACATATGTGTACACGTCTCCATTACCAGATTCTACAGAACACACTTTTTAAAATCTATTTCTTATGTTTAAAAGGAAATTCTACATTTCGTTTTTAATCAGGTCATTATGAAATATTGCATATGAACATTTCATATTACCAAATGACAGCCAGAAGGGGAGCGAGTGCTTTTAAAAAAGAAAAAAATATTTTTGGGGGGATTTTTTTGCAGTTGCTGTGATAAATCAGGCAGCTGAAATACTCAGAGGAGGGTCTCAGCTCCCTCTTTCATTCCTGACACAAATGGGAACATCTTAGACATACATGAGCTCCTAACAAGTACACAGGTATGGCAAATTTCAACTGAACGGAGGTAAAGTGGAGAACTCATCGCCTCTGCTAATACTTCTTTCTCCACCCCTGTAGAAACATGTGAAATACCAAGTACTTCCTAGTATGGGGACCATGTGGCTTCCTATGCTAGTGCAATGCTGGGTGCAGAAAGGCAGAGCCAGCTGTCAATCAGGCAGTAGGGTGGATCCCGACAAGTCTCTGCACTGTCAACCTATAGCGGGTAATAGCCCAATATTTGCTGAGCTTTGCGTCACAGGAGGACATTAGTAAACTTCCTCCTCTGACCCAAAAGAGGACTAACTCCAAAAAAGGTTTGGCCATAGTTCTCTTTTAATGTTAATTTGCCCTCAGTTAGCAAAGTACTGGTTTGTTTTAAAGCTCAACTCAAGCCAACACTTTATTTCATTTTGGATAGAGCAGGAAAGAAGTAGGTCTCAATAAGTTTTTTATTGCTCTGCGTCTCTATTGGGGGAGATTTTTCCTCACTTCCTGTCAGGATAGGAAGTGATCGAAAATCTTGCAAACTGACATAAAAAATGAAAAAAAAAAAAAAAGTCACATTCTTAGTAAATTAAAAGAAAAACTATGGGGTTAGGGCTTTTCCCCATAGTTCTCCTTAGGGTAACGGGAGAACGCTAGTTTGTGTCCTCCCGTCACCCTAAACTCAGTATACCATCTCAGTATACTACAGCTCGCGATATACTGAGACGCCGCAGTATACCGCGAGCTACAGCTCGCGATATACTGAGACGCCACAGTATACCCCGAGCTGTGACGCCGCAGCTGAAGCGGATCCTGACAATTATGTCTGGATCCGCCCAGCTGGGTGAGTGACAGCTGGCTCTGCCTACCTATCTAGAGGATCGGAGCGGGGAATCCAGCCCCTCCCCTGTCACGGCAAAGGAAAAATAAGAGGTTTGGCTAGGTCTACCATAATGTCCAAACAAGAAATGAGAAAAAAAGTAAACCATGTAAAAAAATAAAATAAATACATCTCCTATACAAGTATGGTAAAAAAAAAGGATAAAAAAGGAGAGAGTGAAGATGGACCCCTTTCAAACAAGGATGAAACATTTCAACTATGGAACCTATAACTGAAAACCACTGCTTATGAATACGTTTATGTGGAGTATTAAATATCACAGATTCCTCCATTAACGCCTGCGAGCGTTGAGCGAGGTATCGCCCCCTCTCGCTGTCAGAATAAACAAACAGAGCCAGCAGCTGATTTTCTGACTGGCTCCTTTGATCAGCTAAGGAATGCCAGCTGAAAGGGTACTGACAGCGGCACCCACTGAGAATTTCAGTGAGTTCATCAAGAATGGGATGAAATTTGCATAGTGTATGGCCAGCTTGAACCCCATTTCCACCTTTGCGGAGGTATTTGAAAAATAAATAAACATGCCAGCAATTTACGCCGAGTGAAGTAGACATATGCAGTTGCTGTATATGAACACTGATACTTAGGTTTCCTCTTCATATCCTAATAGAAATGGCCACCTCTGTGCTTTGCAGGCAATCTGTATTTGTAAGCTACAACTGTTCCTCTACATTACCACAATACATGCTAATCACTTACAACGGTGGAAATGGACTTTAAGAACTGGATATAGTTGAACGTCCCAAGAAGTAATACTCAGCAGTTATAATTGCTTAGATATCAGGGCATATAACAGGAACAATCTTATCTGTTACTGCTCCTCCTCCGTACAAAGACCGGCATGTGACATCACTAAAGAAGCTCAAATCCATGACTCATTACAGCTCATATATCTAGACATGTAGGGGAGAGGTCAGCTGGAAAGTAAGATGAACCTTTAAATGGTCACAAGACAAACTTTCACAATTGCACCTGGATCACAGAGACTTTAGCTTGTAAACACTAGACTGAAATGCATCGTGTGCAGTACGCATTTACAAAGCATTTAGGGAACTTCAAATAACTTAAGGCGTCCTTCAGATGCAGTCTGGGAATTTAAATACAGACCTTAATGGGGTTTAAATACAAAGTGATTGGGGTAATAGAAGAGGAAATTGGAAAACCTTGTGAAGTGCTTCACCCATGCTAAGCTCAAATCTGTAACATTATTTACAAAAGAGACCCTGTCTCCAGATCATTCATTTCAACAACAATCTTCTCACAAGATTAGATGTGCATTTCATGTATTTTAGAACTAGCATATACCTATAACAGCCTCTTTTGTGTAGACAGCCAAAAGCCTTGTCTACTGTTGCTGGGTGCCACCATTTTGGATGTGATATCAGCCCTAGCAGACTGAGTTGTAAACTGTATTATTCCCCTTCCACCTTCCCAGCAGCTACATAAAAAAAAGTTATGTAAGGAGGTGAAGGGAGGGGTGGAAAAGCCAGGCTATTACAGAGCGTACAGCTTTTAATAGACAAAGATGGAGCAATTCGCTCAACTCTCGCACATCTACTCCCGCCAATGGATCTCGGTGCCAGGTATGTCTTTTGCCTAGGCCTTAAAGGAGATCTATGAGGTGAGTGATTGCAACTCATCCTCATAGTTAGAGCTGACCTGTGACAAAGAAGCTGTCACAGGTCAGCTCTACTGATCGGGAAGTGAGCAGAAACATGCAGCTGATCCGCTCACTTCCCAATCATCTCCCTGCAGTGAGCAATGACCGTCAGTCACGGATCCCTGCAGGGATTCCTCCCTCCCCTCTCCGATCCTCCAGCCCTGACTGGTGGAACGGACAGGGAGGGGGCGGGCACAGCTCTAGATAGGCAGAGCCCGCTGTCACTGATGCAGCTGGGTGATCCAGACAGTATTGTCGGGATCCGTCCTGGCTGCGGCGCTCGCAGTATATTGTGGGCAATAACCCGCGATAAACTGAGTTTTAGGTCAAGGGAGGAGGTTAGTATATGTCCTCCCGTGACCCTAAAAAGAGAACTATGGGGAAAACCACTTACCCCATAGTTCTCTTTTAAATCCAAAAGTTCATAGCAAACCGGCACTCGAAGAGGGATCAGTCCAATAATATCAATGTATCCAAAAAAAGCATAAAAGCAGTCAATAAGGAACCCTTGACACGTTTTGGCCCCACAACTGAACCTTAGTGGTAGGTTTTAACTGTATTTTTGGTGATAGTTGGTGAAAGGGTCTCTTTAAAGTAACTTCGATATTAAAGATACATTTTTAACAGAGTCTTTTTTTTTTTAAAGTGTTCCACATCCACTCTGTTAAGCCCCTGGGAGCTATTTTTCCGGTTGATAACATGAGACCCATTTTAACCGGCTGGACAGGTAACATAGCAACAGATGACAACCCAAGTGACAAGATGGTTAACAAATGACCTACTTACAAGACAGGTTCTCATTAAAGATATAGAGAGCCCAATAGTTCCTCTTCACCTCCCCCCTCCGACAATCAAAAATCACCCTGCCAAACAATATGAAAGTAACACATTTTAAAGAAATTCAGGAATGGCTACAAACCTCCTGCGGTAATTCAAGCTTGGATCGGTCTGTCCCTTCCTTGGACTGGAGACCCATCAAGTACGGTACAGGAGCATCAAGGAAGTGGAGAAGTGAGGCTGGCAAGATGGGGACATACACATGCTGCCACTGAAAGGGGAAAAGCAGTGATGTGATACCTTCTGCTACAGTCATCAGCCGCTGGTAATCTGGCCAAAAAAGAGAAAGAAACTTCATAAATCACAACCAAGTTGAGAGAGCAGTACAATCAAAAGGAGACCCCAAAGATGCCTCAACAAGAGCACCTTCACTTCCCGAAGCTGGGCTTACCCCCGCCTGCCTCTTCATTGCAAAGTAATTAAAGTGTGAGGAGGCCTTGCACTTTTTGTTGATAGAAGTTGTAATGTTTGAGGTGATATAGGGAATTCCCTTTAGGCAGCTTTCTGAAGGACAAGCCGCTCGTATCTCAAAACACAGTTAAACTATTCATAGAGGAAAGACCAAAGAAGTGAGGTGTGTGAAGTAAAGAAAAAAACTTTATTCAGAAGCCATAGACCAGTGGTTCTCAACCTGTGGGTCGGGACCCCTTCGGGGGTCGAATGACAATTTGCCAGGGGTCGCTGGGGGTCTCCCGCTATTAGATAGCGGCTCCCGGCCGCATGGGAGAGAAACACTTTCTCCCGGAAAGGTTTAATCTGCTCGCTGCGATCGTTTTTTTAAAATGTTATTTCTGACTTCGGAGCCCCGGTCGCCGTAAGTCAGAAAAAAATAAAATAAAATCAGCATTGGAATGCAAAGCTACATTCCTATTGGCTACTTCACTTTGCAATGGCAAACTGGCTATTGCACCCGCCCACTGCTGCTGTCAATCTCCATCAGGTCCCCATCTAGTGATTATCATCATTATTATTAATAATAAAAGCTGACACCCTTGGCTTGTGTTATATGGTTTGCCATTTTAGCTGTTACAACATTGGTTCTCAACCTATGGGTCGCTGTGTGATTTCTGCTGTGCTAGGTGAGAGTCCTCCTCAGCCCTCTCCTAGCGCAGCAGTGTCAGTTCTCCCACCACGCCGCCAGATGTCACTGCAGCAGCCGCCGCGTCAACCCTAAATTTTACCGTTGGGGGTCACCACAACTTGGCAAATGTTACCAAGGGGTCCCGGCCATAGAAAGGTTGAGAACCACTGGCATAGACAGTGAAACAACCAACACATTTTGGTGGTTTGAAAGGGCTTAGTAGGTACTGCATCCCAACAAGGATGGAATATCCCTTAGTGAATATGTTTAATTGTATTGCAATAGAAAAAAAAAAACAAGCTTGCTCCAGTTGCTCCGCTGTTTTACTGTACAGGTCTTCTAAATAAAATTTACTCTTGGCTTCACACAGCCCGTTTTTGGAGATTTCTTTCATGAACTGTTGAGGTGCCTCTTCGTTGATCAGTGTAGCTGTGCATTACAACAGTGTTTCAATAGCCAGCTACTGGAGACAGGGGAGTCCAAGAATATTCACTGACCCTCCACCACTCCCCATCCTGAAGATCTCGGGCCTCCTTGCTGTAAACAATTAAATTTAATTGGGCTCCGGGTATTGTATAAAAATGGCCACCCAGACTAATGCTGAAGGTTTACCATGTTTACATAGAGTCTGGAGCCTGTGCAACGACTAGGGTTAATGCATGTAAATGCACAAAAATGCTGCGCGTGTTAGATTTTAAAAATGCACTATGCTAAAGTGCAGATATTCAAAACAAGCCATATAGGAATGAATGACATTTTTCCTTTAAATGCATTTTGACATCGCAAAAAGTAAGTGTTTTACTGCAAGAAAATGTGAGCAAGGAACACAGGTGGTCTAAGGCTGCAATGTCTGCATCTGATGCTGTTTACAAACTGCAGACACATGAAATCAGTCAAGCCAGACAGAAAACAACAGTGAGAGTGTATGATGGTAATCTGAGTGTGATCGTATATCATAGCAGAAGGGAAAAATAACATCACTGCTGGCTTGCCTAGCCCACAGATCCATATTAAAGAGAACCAGTACTTTCCCCATGCAGGGCAAAGCAATATGTTCACTTAAAAGAATATATAAGCCCAAGAACAAATATATGTCATATATTGAAGCTTATCAGTCCAGAGATGAGGTCGAAGGAGCAGGAAGGAACATTTTTGCTCAATCAAACAAAATCCGAGGGGAGGAGGGGGGGGGGGGGGGGGGGGGGGGGCAGAGCGCTGCGGGGACCAACTAGAAAACGAG